TTCATCTTCCAGTAGTTCCTCGAAGCTGTAACCATCATCTTCTGCTGGGGGTTTCTCAGCAGGGAAACCTGGAACTTCTGTGCTGTCAGATTGGTCTGCTGGTTCCACTTCCTGTGTGCCCAGTACTGGCTGGTGACGAACGAACTCTTCAGCTGAGGAGTCCTTTTTGACCTCTTCCTCAGAGACCCTTACCTTCTCATTCATTTGCTTATTAACTGCAGCAGCCACATCTCTTTCTCGTTGCCAGGAAAGATTTCTCCCCAGAATGGGACCCTCTTCTTCCAGTTCTCTTGGCAAATCAATTTCACCTGGAGAGAAGAGTGAAGGTTGGTTGTGAGTTTTAAGAAGCTGTTTCTCTTCAGATTTCTCACTGGGATGCTCTAATGAAAGCGTGTGTGTTTTGGGCCCACTTACTAGAACATCTAATTTCTCCACACTGTCTTTGGAGGCATTATGCTGATCATCTCCCAACAGCAGAGCAGTATCTGTGCCTTCCTGTCTCAGCTTTCCTTTGCTCACGTGATTCCCTGCAGCTTTATGCACTGATTCATGCTCCAACCCACCTTCCAAAATCTGCTCTTCAGGTATTACTTCATGGAGCACTCCTTTTGAGATGTGAACAGCTGCTCCTTTTAGGTCCTTTTCTTTGTTATCAAAGGCTGACTTCAATGTCTCTTTATGCTTTTCAGCAGCTGGCAGAGAGTTGAGGTTACTACTTTGAGTAGAACTGTGAACTGCCCTGCCTTCTCGCTTCTCATCCTCTAGATCTGTCCCATCCTGCACCAGGCCCCTCTTGGATTCCTCGGCTTTATTCCTTTTTCCTATAATGTGAGGTTCTGTGTCCATTTGTGGGTCTTTGTCATCATTTGTTTTAGGAAGTTCTACAGTCAAATGACCTTCCTCTGCCTTTTTAGGGGCAGTATGATCTGTTGGTGACTGCGGTTTCCTCCACTTGCTATCTGAGACTAATGCACTGTCACCTTCCTTTTCTTCCCCTGAATTGGAACTCTCCAAACCCACACCTATTTGTTCTTTACCTTCGGTGACAACCGAGAAGATAGTATCCTCCGAGGTTGTTAGTGTATTCTTATCATGGCTTTTGATGCCAGGGGGCTGAGCTGCCTTGAGCTTAACCTCTTCATTTGAATTCTGCTCATTATCTGTCAAATATTCCTCAACTTCAGATTTCAATGGAGTTTTCATATCTTCTGCATCTATAAAGGTTAGTAATGGTACCTCATCAAAGTTTTCTTTATTCTCCTCTTCTTCCTTCCCAACTGTGTAATACTCATCCAATTCCTCATCAAAATCATCTTCCAATGAAGTAACAAGTCTGGTTGTCTCATCATCGGACACAAGTGCATCAGCAGTTGAGCCAAATTTGGTTTTCAAGTCCAGAGTCATGTCTTTTTTCAAAAGTGTATAAGCGCCAATCCTCTCCTGTTCATCTGAGACCTGAGAACTATTGCCGGTTTTGTTGTTTTCACTTTCTGGCACTTTTAATTTATCTTGCAGTTTCTCTTCAAAAGGTTCAAATAAAGATTGGTCTCCCGGTGCACGATCTATTTGACTGTTTCCATGGGGGAGGTTCTTCTGAGTTCCAAAGCTTTCCCTAAGTTCTTGAGTGTTTTCTGAGAATACATCTTCACTTTCCTTTGAGTTGGCTTCTGTTGGTTCAGGTTCAGGGTCACTGTACTCAGATACTTCAGGAAGCTTTTCCACTGGCTGAGAAGTTTTTTCTAGAGCTTTCTCAAAATCTCCACTTGCAGAATTGTCCAATTCCAAAAATCCTAAAAGTTCTTCTACATTATAATTATCAAAATCATCTCTTCCCCCATCAAAACAAATAAAATCTGTCTCCTGTAAGGGAAAGAGAGAATTGGTGTGTCACAAACCAAATGTCACAAGAGCAAACTCTTACACATGCTAATAATAGAGATAACCTCAAATTCATGTTTGACCCTAGAGGAGCCTTTGTGCCAACTGTGGTTGATGACTGTTCTTGGGAGCTGGGGGATATAGAAGCTGGAACCCCTGCATGAGTAATGCTCCTGCTGCCCTTCATTCTCTCTTCCCCAGGGAAGGAAGGATTAATGTGGCTGGTGACTTGGCTCTGTACCACCCCTGCTTTCTGTTTGGGACCTGCTGGAGGGAGTACACATCCTTTCTCCTCCATGTTGTCTGTTTTATAGAGACAGTCCCCCTTGAAGAGCCCCACCCCCACCATTAGCTAGCTCTCTCTGTGGCTGGGTAAGTCTGTCTTATTCTAGACTGCAATACTAGAAAGTCCATTATTTCTTTACACTTGAGCCATGTTCAGCAAAAAGCTTAATAATGGGGACATTTTGGTCTCTATCTGCCTGACTCTTGGGTCTCTCAATTTGTTCTGAGCACAAGTGGGAAAAAGTAGGTTATCACTTATTGGGTCTCCCAACTCCCAATATCTAAGCTTAATGTTGTAGGAATTCACCTCACAATAATTTGTCCGGGAAAATCTGGAAGCCCATCCAGCCTCTCTATCATCGTCCCTGTTAGGCTGTACTTCTCTGCTTACCCAGCTAGAAACAGGCAGATCATCTTGCTCTCAGGCTCTTATTTTACATGGATTTTTGGCTCACATTCTCTTTGGATTAGGAAAGATAAATCAACTTAAGTATCCTATTGAAATACAGGTGCATGGGAAGTAAAAATTTAGAGGGACAGAGAATGGTGTCAAGGGGGCTCCCCACTTAATTATGACCACAAGTACAATTTGAAAACAAGATTCAGTTAAGGGACATACTCTGCCCTAAATCAAGGTTCTGGGTGTCATTAATATCTGCTTTCAGGACTATGTATACATCTACATTCTTCCTTTCCTCTGCTAATGAACAAACTACATAAAAGGATCCATTAACAGAGGGAAGAGTTAAAAAACCAACAAAGATAATTTTCCTCTAACTAAACTTTCACAGTACTCTGGGGATAGCTGACCACTGTAGTAGGGAAAAAATGATTTCCTCTTTTCATCACATGCATATCTAAGCCATTTTCTTAATACTGTGGGAAGCATGCAGTAAGAAATACAATGAGAAGGCAGCATAATCCCAACAACTGAGATCTCTGTGACCAATGAACTCCTGTCTCACACGCACATCCTGGGCAGTCTCTTCACTAGGAATGAGGCCAAACAGGCAATAAGGCTGATTTTATGACCCTAAAATTATCAAGAATTTTAAGAATAGCGATGGCAATATTAAGATAGCAATTTCAAGACTTCATCCATTCTGCCAATTTCATCTGAGGATTGCCCTAGGTCAGCAGCTTACCTGCTCTACAGCAACTTCAAAGAGCTGCTCAAAGATTTCTGATGAAGGTGGGTACCAACTGCTGTAAGTTTTGAAACTCCAGAAACTAATCAGCTGAAATGAGGACCCCAGCACACAAAATCCTTGTCATCATAAAGTTGTTTTTAAGTCAGTGTGCCCTACATGAACGCTTTATAGAATATGCCGTTGGTACCTTGCAATTATGAGAATGGACCTCATCTGAAACTCTCAGGTTTCCCTTTTCAAATCTATAACATAACTGTAATCCCTTAAATCACCAGAGTACATAATAAGAAAACCTTGTAAATATTTCTGGCCTAGTACATAAGTCAGGGCTTGACTAATTTAACTTGACTACTATATATTTAAAATGTCTAGTAGCCATATAATGAGTAGTTTTCAAATTGAGACACCTTCTCCTTTTGTTTGTAAAAAGAAGTATTTGCCTCTTAAATTTAATAACTAAATACAAAGATATTGAATTCTTTATTTTTTTCTAATAGAAAGACACAAAGAAAACTTTTTATAGAGGAGTCCACAGCCTTATATAACAACTGCTTGAATGTATTAGATAAGGGCCAGATTATGACATAAAGTGCCATGTAAATTCTTCCCAAATTCTTTTTTTCCATTTTTAAATGTAGTCTAATTCTAAATTAAAATCTGAGACACAAATGTTAACTTGTTTTTTTCTAACCAAAACACATTTAAAGACTTTTGGAAATGGTTAAATGAATATAATGGATGAATTTATGATTGAGTAAACCCCCAAATCCACAACTTACATCTGCTGGAACTTGTAGCTCCTCTTTAGTGTATTCATAAACTACCTGGATTAAATCCTTTGGAAAATATCCAAAAATACGCCCAACCTACAGAAAAGAATGGGGAAAAGAAACAAAGATCACTCAAACTTCTGAACAAGAAATGTGAATGTGAGACTTCTTGGTAGTTGGAAAAAATATAGAAATAGATTAGATCACTAGATATAACAAGAAGACATAGTTGCTATTATAATTATATAGATTATTAGTCTAATAAAAATTAAGTATAGGATATTTTAGAACCAACTTTCTAAAACCACTTAAGATTTCTTTGAACATTTTGTTCAGCTTAACAAGTCTAAACAAAGGGCACATAAGTTAGATTTCTAAAGTAGATAAAAGATCTGCATAAGAGAAGATTATTGTATATTATATGATTAAAGCTATGGAAATCAAAGCTGCTTAGAAACACAATTCCAAATAACCTCTAACAAGAATTTACCTGCATATTTCATAGCATGGCTCAGAAGCCAGTACTTGTAAGTACTTCTTATACCACTAAACAACAGCCATGAAAATTAAGTGAAAAGAAAATTTCTGAGATGTATGACCATTACAATGAAAGGCAAATATTTACTCATATTAAGGTCTGCACTAGCTTTTCAAAACCAGATTTTCAAGTATTTGGGGAGGAAATAAAATTCATACTAATTTGCACATAAAGTTTTCATTTCATGCAAAGTAAAGCTATGCTATAGAAAATAAGCCCATTTATCTACAACATTAACAGTTAAGGTATATAAAGTGTGTCCTACTGAGAAACATACAGTTTTTACTAGCTGGTCTGAAACGGAGCAGCAGATCTCTGTCCCAATCGTTAAAGAAGAATACACAGATNAAATTTGGAACTCAACTAAGAACCCATCAAGTCATATATATCGGAGGCTTGTTTCAGAGGCAATCTTCAAAGGATCAGGAATTATCTTCATAGACACATTTTCAGTTCTTTATCTCATGTTCAAGATTAGAAACTAATAATCAACATTCTATCTGAAGAAACTATATATGTTAAACTTACCGTCTTAGTTAAATAAAACATGAATGAATATATTAAAAGAATGGCACTTTCCAAAGGTGTGACACTTGCTGGCTCCTCAGCCTTTGTTTCTAGTTGCTTTTTTGCATCAACAGGATCAAGAGGAGTGCTTTCTGTTATAATTATCCCTAAAAGTAAGGGGGAAAATTGCTATTTTATTTTATGCTTTAGAAGAAGAAGAAGAATTGTTTCTCTTCATTTAAGATATTTTAATGCCCACTAAATGTTAGTCACTGTGCCTAGATATGTGGTTCTCTTAAAGAAAATTGTATAGAGAAAAAATTCAGAATCCCTGTCCACTATAAAATGGACATATCTCCAACATACTCTACCCCTCACCTTTGCCCTCCATCATTTCCCTGGCAATGCAACTGCTATCTGAACAATATTTACTCAGGGGAATTGGGAAAAATGAAATTGTGTGCTTTTTCCGTAGAGATGCAGTCACCTTTAACAAACATTTACTTAGTGCCAGTGACACACTGTAGTAGAAACTTTGAACAAATGACATGTAAAGAAGTATGAGTTTGCAGATTTGTAGGCGGGATGCACCAACACTTAGCCCAGTGTGTGACACCTGGCAGGCACTCAGTACTTGCTTACTGAACGGGTAAATGGCAGCTACACAAAAGAGGATTTGGGAAATGCCAAGAGAGACTAAAGGGAACTGCTTACAGGGTGGGGCCTGGCTTGGAGCTCTGTGTAAGAGGTAGAATTCCAGCTACACCTGAAAGAATTTCCAGAGGTAGCAGGGAGGGGGTTTCAGTACGAGTTTTTAAGTCTGGTGCATATCTTGTAAACAGCTAGCTTAACAAGCAATCAGTGAAAAGCTGGATGAGTTGCCTCGCAGGTCTCTCCCAGCCCTGAGATTCCATTCACTTTGGTCTATGAACCTGACCTCTGGTGAGAGGTCCCCAGCTAGGTCAGCATCTTGATGTCTGAGATGTATGAAGGGACACTGAAGAAGAGCAGCCTGTAAAGGCAGGTGATATCGTTTTGTGGTGGAACTTAAAGGAAGGGCAAAACATCTGTTTTTACTTCTGCAAGTAGGATTTTCCTAACCATCGAAGTTTTTGAGCAGAAGAGAAACAAGTCTAAATGGTGTATGACTCATTTTCAGCCAGCAGAACCTTTCTGAGTTAAAAAGAGTTTAGAAGTAGAGAGTATTGTGTAGAGAGTATTGTATATGAATGCAATATCCTCTGGAGCATGGGAGAGCTATGACATGTCATTTCTTCTCAAATTAGCTGAATTCCTCTCCCTGCTGTGACGTCTATGCTTTGAAGGGGGTAGGGGAGCTCACCCAGCATTGCCAGGCCTAATGGTATCACCAGGTAATGCTGTATCTACAGTTAGGGACCATAACCTCTACAAACACAAAAACAGTAATGCTGTCACATCACCATAGTGGATAGACAAAGTCACACAAGCAGCTGCTTTTCTGATTTACTGATAAAATGAGTGAGCTACATTATTGGGATTGTATTTTTTTTTTTCTCCCAATTGAAATGCAGTAAGTTCGTTCCCATTGGAAGTCTGCTATGCTCTGTAGATGAAGTAATATTCACAAGTGTCAGTTTACACTGGACTATTACATACCACAAAGTCGTGCATTGTTACCTATAATCTTACAGTAAAAGATACCTAGACATAGATACCTCTTCACTGTTTTAAAAAAAAGTCTTTACCATGTCCCAGGTAGCAAATTAACAAAAGAAGAGAGCTATGTTGTATTCTGCCGGTGGGGGAGTGGGGTGACTGCGGAGGGCAGTGGACACACAGAACCCGTGAGCTCTACAGCAGTCACTCATAAACTTTCAATGCTCAGCAGATCAGAATTTTCTTGAGGGCTTGAGACAGATTGCTGGTCTCCACCCCCAGAGTTTCTGATGCTGTTGGTCTGGCTGAAACTACTGTTTTATGACATAAGGCTTTTTAAGAATAATATTTTAGATTAGACTTATTTACATAAGCTGCTGGCAGCCAAACATTGGTTTGGAGGTTACAGGCTCTGGCCTCTTTCCTATTGTTGAATTCCACCTGTCTGAACTCCTGCTTTTCTCTCAGTTCTAAGGCCAGCTTTCTTATCTTTTCAACTCATTCATACTGTACTGTTCTCCTCTCTATTTCCTTTCTTTAACAACATAACTCTCTGAAGCTCTCCTTTGTGATATGCCTCTAAGTCTGTTGAGAAAAATCATCCAGCCTTACCTGGGTCTGCGTCTTTCTCCGTGTCTGGCTTCTGCCACGCTTCTGAGACACTTGTGTCACTAGTCACAGGTTGATCCAAGTGGCTGGGCTCTTCAGGGATCTGTACTTTAGGATCTTCTGTATTATCTTGTGGGAAATTGTCTTCAAGTGGTGGCTGTATCTCTACAGGGAAGAAGAATGCATTACGTGGCAAAGCTCGGTGACACTCCCCACTTGGCCCCTCCCACAGGGCAGCGTTCCCGCACCGTACAACACCAGAGCTTGCGCCGCTGCCTTCCACCGGCTGAGCAGGGAAATAAATATTTCCATTGCTTTTCATCTCACTTCATTTGGCTAATTTGCATAATAAAATTTACAAAGAAACCCTTATTCCAAAGTATTTCATACCTGTATTTACAGTAGGGACTTCAATAACCTAGCTTCCCTTGACAAACCAACACAGGCTCACACAGATAAATGTGCAAAAGAGAATTCCAGTCAACAGCAGAAAAATGAAATGCCTATTCTACACAGAAATCCCATGACCTCTTTGTAAACAAGCATGCTCGTTACACAGAGCTATGCAGAGAGAAGGGCATTACAGAGACAGCTTGCTGAAGCGCCTTTCAAATATTCTCACAGGGCCTCTAAGAGTCAGCACGAGTGAGCGCTCACATCTCCTTCCAGAAGGCGCAGAGCATAGTCCAGTGTGACCCACAGTGAACATGAACCTCCTGGAAGGCTCATAGTTTACCCTGAAAATTTACTTCCGTTTTGCATTTTAATCTAAAATGTATCTGCTTTGATTAAATGCAAAAGTATTCCCCTCTCCAAATTCTCAGGAAAAACCAGCACTCTGGGAAGAAGTATTTATTCTGTGGCTTTATGTCCCCTTGGTATTTGACCAAATACCTTCAATTCAAACACCTCAGTTTGAAAAGCACGGGGACAGAAAACTCAGCATGGAACTAGGACTCGGCTTCCGGAGGATATCGACTCAAGGTCAATTCAATCAATATGTATTGAATGGCTTCTATATATCAAGAGCTGTGTTGGAAGGCTCTGCATCCTGGTCTGATGCTTCATTAATCTGAATGCAAGAATGCCAGGGCCCAGGTAGCACTGAACGGACTGACCTAAGTGACTGTCTCAAAGAAGCAGGAAAGAACATGACATCCACACAAGATTAAAGTTGAAAGGAATAAAGAAACTCAGACAAGGCACTGATTTACAAGTTATGCCAGTCAAATTTCGGTCAGAGAGCAGTTATTCTACGATTAGAAACTGTGTTCAAAAAAGCCCCTTCACAGTTTTACATGAAACTTGTACTTTGTTACAGGTCGACTTTCTGCATCTTTTCATAAAGTTTCCTTTTGAAAATGCTACCAATCCCAAATGTCCGAACAGGAAAACAGGGTAAGAAACCCTTACCTGTGCTCCAGCCTACGAGAAAGATGGCAGGAAGCCACCTGGGATGCCACCGTGCTGCTCCGCCTTTAGGCACACCGAGCGGCGCAGCGCTTTACAGACAAGGTAGGAGACGCTTTGGCAACCCTTTCCCCCTCCACCCGGTTTCTCAAGGCCGCGTCACACAGCCACAGGCAGGCACTTTACCTTCCTCTGGTCCACCCCAGTCTTCCTCGGGAGGCTGTGCTGTTCCCAGTGGTACAGTCTCCTCTGCTGTGGAGTGTCTGTACCTGACAAAATAGATCAGGTCTTGAATATCATCTAGCACTGCAGCTTCTTCAAGTATGTTATTTTCCTTCATTCCCAGATCTCTATTTTCAGCCACTCGCGTATACAGCATTTTCTCGGCTACGCTCAGAATTTGTGACTCAGATGCACGAAAGACCTTATCTAGGACTTTTTCCACATTATAGGGCAGGCTCTCCCGCTGTGCTAACTTCAGCTTTAATGACATTTCCTGGAACATGGCTTCCAGCTCACGGACATCAAAGTACTTCTGGAACCGCTGCAAAGACTGCAGTTCTTTAAAGAAGCCGCCTATGATAGGCAAGTCACTGTGCTCCAGCTCTATGGCTGTACGGGGAGTCCAGTGAAACGGGTCACCCTCAGGTTCCTCAGAGGCAGACTCCTGGCTTTCTGTGCCCATGAATTTCCCTAAGTCCCCCTGGTCCTCTTCCGAGAGTTCTTCTACTCCAGGCTCTTTTGTGAGCCCTGAGGCCTTCAGGTGTTCCTCAGGGCTATTTTCTTTAAGATAATCAGAATCTTTTTTCTCAGACACTTCACCTATCTTTGAAGCCTGATTCTTTTTCTTGTCAGGAAAGTCACTTACTTCAGATGGTGTCTGTGCTTTCCGATCTACAAGAGGGCTTTCTTCTTTTTCCACCACTGTATCATCCAGTTCCTTGCCTACTGTGTTCACCCCTTTGCCCACAGTTTCACCTTTTTTTCCAGTTTCCAAAATATTACTAGTTTCTTTGTTTTCTTCGGCTTCTGAATCAGTATTAGTGGCACCTATAATAGTTCTTTCAGGGCCTTGCAGGTTAACATCTAACCACCTGTCCTTAATCTCAGGACTTTTTTCTTTAGACTGTTTTGCACTTACAGCATTTTCATCTTCCAGTAGTTCCTCGAAGCTGTAACCATCATCTTCTGCTGGGGGTTTCTCAGCAGGGAAACCTGGAACTTCTGTGCTGTCAGATTGGTCTGCTGGTTCCACTTCCTGTGTGCCCAGTACTGGCTGGTGACGAACGAACTCTTCAGCTGAGGAGTCCTTTTTGACCTCTTCCTCAGAGACCCTTACCTTCTCATTCATTTGCTTATTAACTGCAGCAGCCACATCTCTTTCTCGTTGCCAGGAAAGATTTCTCCCCAGAATGGGACCCTCTTCTTCCAGTTCTCTTGGCAAATCAATTTCACCTGGAGAGAAGAGTGAAGGTTGGTTGTGAGTTTTAAGAAGCTGTTTCTCTTCAGATTTCTCACTGGGATGCTCTAATGAAAGCGTGTGTGTTTTGGGCCCACTTACTAGAACATCTAATTTCTCCACACTGTCTTTGGAGGCATTATGCTGATCATCTCCCAACAGCAGAGCAGTATCTGTGCCTTCCTGTCTCAGCTTTCCTTTGCTCACGTGATTCCCTGCAGCTTTATGCACTGATTCATGCTCCAACCCACCTTCCAAAATCTGCTCTTCAGGTATTACTTCATGGAGCACTCCTTTTGAGATGTGAACAGCTGCTCCTTTTAGGTCCTTTTCTTTGTTATCAAAGGCTGACTTCAATGTCTCTTTATGCTTTTCAGCAGCTGGCAGAGAGTTGAGGTTACTACTTTGAGTAGAACTGTGAACTGCCCTGCCTTCTCGCTTCTCATCCTCTAGATCTGTCCCATCCTGCACCAGGCCCCTCTTGGATTCCTCGGCTTTATTCCTTTTTCCTATAATGTGAGGTTCTGTGTCCATTTGTGGGTCTTTGTCATCATTTGTTTTAGGAAGTTCTACAGTCAAATGACCTTCCTCTGCCTTTTTAGGGGCAGTATGATCTGTTGGTGACTGCGGTTTCCTCCACTTGCTATCTGAGACTAATGCACTGTCACCTTCCTTTTCTTCCCCTGAATTGGAACTCTCCAAACCCACACCTATTTGTTCTTTACCTTCGGTGACAACCGAGAAGATAGTATCCTCCGAGGTTGTTAGTGTATTCTTATCATGGCTTTTGATGCCAGGGGGCTGAGCTGCCTTGAGCTTAACCTCTTCATTTGAATTCTGCTCATTATCTGTCAAATATTCCTCAACTTCAGATTTCAATGGAGTTTTCATATCTTCTGCATCTATAAAGGTTAGTAATGGTACCTCATCAAAGTTTTCTTTATTCTCCTCTTCTTCCTTCCCAACTGTGTAATACTCATCCAATTCCTCATCAAAATCATCTTCCAATGAAGTAACAAGTCTGGTTGTCTCATCATCGGACACAAGTGCATCAGCAGTTGAGCCAAATTTGGTTTTCAAGTCCAGAGTCATGTCTTTTTTCAAAAGTGTATAAGCGCCAATCCTCTCCTGTTCATCTGAGACCTGAGAACTATTGCCGGTTTTGTTGTTTTCACTTTCTGGCACTTTTAATTTATCTTGCAGTTTCTCTTCAAAAGGTTCAAATAAAGATTGGTCTCCCGGTGCACGATCTATTTGACTGTTTCCATGGGGGAGGTTCTTCTGAGTTCCAAAGCTTTCCCTAAGTTCTTGAGTGTTTTCTGAGAATACATCTTCACTTTCCTTTGAGTTGGCTTCTGTTGGTTCAGGTTCAGGGTCACTGTACTCAGATACTTCAGGAAGCTTTTCCACTGGCTGAGAAGTTTTTTCTAGAGCTTTCTCAAAATCTCCACTTGCAGAATTGTCCAATTCCAAAAATCCTAAAAGTTCTTCTACATTATAATTATCAAAATCATCTCTTCCCCCATCAAAACAAATAAAATCTGTCTCCTGTAAGGGAAAGAGAGAATTGGTGTGTCACAAACCAAATGTCACAAGAGCAAACTCTTACACATGCTAATAATAGAGATAACCTCAAATTCATGTTTGACCCTAGAGGAGCCTTTGTGCCAACTGTGGTTGATGACTGTTCTTGGGAGCTGGGGGATATAGAAGCTGGAACCCCTGCATGAGTAATGCTCCTGCTGCCCTTCATTCTCTCTTCCCCAGGGAAGGAAGGATTAATGTGGCTGGTGACTTGGCTCTGTACCACCCCTGCTTTCTGTTTGGGACCTGCTGGAGGGAGTACACATCCTTTCTCCTCCATGTTGTCTGTTTTATAGAGACAGTCCCCCTTGAAGAGCCCCACCCCCACCATTAGCTAGCTCTCTCTGTGGCTGGGTAAGTCTGTCTTATTCTAGACTGCAATACTAGAAAGTCCATTATTTCTTTACACTTGAGCCATGTTCAGCAAAAAGCTTAATAATGGGGACATTTTGGTCTCTATCTGCCTGACTCTTGGGTCTCTCAATTTGTTCTGAGCACAAGTGGGAAAAAGTAGGTTATCACTTATTGGGTCTCCCAACTCCCAATATCTAAGCTTAATGTTGTAGGAATTCACCTCACAATAATTTGTCCGGGAAAATCTGGAAGCCCATCCAGCCTCTCTATCATCGTCCCTGTTAGGCTGTACTTCTCTGCTTACCCAGCTAGAAACAGGCAGATCATCTTGCTCTCAGGCTCTTATTTTACATGGATTTTTGGCTCACATTCTCTTTGGATTAGGAAAGATAAATCAACTTAAGTATCCTATTGAAATACAGGTGCATGGGAAGTAAAAATTTAGAGGGACAGAGAATGGTGTCAAGGGGGCTCCCCACTTAATTATGACCACAAGTACAATTTGAAAACAAGATTCAGTTAAGGGACATACTCTGCCCTAAATCAAGGTTCTGGGTGTCATTAATATCTGCTTTCAGGACTATGTATACATCTACATTCTTCCTTTCCTCTGCTAATGAACAAACTACATAAAAGGATCCATTAACAGAGGGAAGAGTTAAAAAACCAACAAAGATAATTTTCCTCTAACTAAACTTTCACAGTACTCTGGGGATAGCTGACCACTGTAGTAGGGAAAAAATGATTTCCTCTTTTCATCACATGCATATCTAAGCCATTTTCTTAATACTGTGGGAAGCATGCAGTAAGAAATACAATGAGAAGGCAGCATAATCCCAACAACTGAGATCTCTGTGACCAATGAACTCCTGTCTCACACGCACATCCTGGGCAGTCTCTTCACTAGGAATGAGGCCAAACAGGCAATAAGGCTGATTTTATGACCCTAAAATTATCAAGAATTTTAAGAATAGCGATGGCAATATTAAGATAGCAATTTCAAGACTTCATCCATTCTGCCAATTTCATCTGAGGATTGCCCTAGGTCAGCAGCTTACCTGCTCTACAGCAACTTCAAAGAGCTGCTCAAAGATTTCTGATGAAGGTGGGTACCAACTGCTGTAAGTTTTGAAACTCCAGAAACTAATCAGCTGAAATGAGGACCCCAGCACACAAAATCCTTGTCATCATAAAGTTGTTTTTAAGTCAGTGTGCCCTACATGAACGCTTTATAGAATATGCCGTTGGTACCTTGCAATTATGAGAATGGACCTCATCTGAAACTCTCAGGTTTCCCTTTTCAAATCTATAACATAACTGTAATCCCTTAAATCACCAGAGTACATAATAAGAAAACCTTGTAAATATTTCTGGCCTAGTACATAAGTCAGGGCTTGACTAATTTAACTTGACTACTATATATTTAAAATGTCTAGTAGCCATATAATGAGTAGTTTTCAAATTGAGACACCTTCTCCTTTTGTTTGTAAAAAGAAGTATTTGCCTCTTAAATTTAATAACTAAATACAAAGATATTGAATTCTTTATTTTTTTCTAATAGAAAGACACAAAGAAAACTTTTTATAGAGGAGTCCACAGCCTTATATAACAACTGCTTGAATGTATTAGATAAGGGCCAGATTATGACATAAAGTGCCATGTAAATTCTTCCCAAATTCTTTTTTTCCATTTTTAAATGTAGTCTAATTCTAAATTAAAATCTGAGACACAAATGTTAACTTGTTTTTTTCTAACCAAAACACATTTAAAGACTTTTGGAAATGGTTAAATGAATATAATGGATGAATTTATGATTGAGTAAACCCCCAAATCCACAACTTACATCTGCTGGAACTTGTAGCTCCTCTTTAGTGTATTCATAAACTACCTGGATTAAATCCTTTGGAAAATATCCAAAAATACGCCCAACCTACAGAAAAGAATGGGGAAAAGAAACAAAGATCACTCAAACTTCTGAACAAGAAATGTGAATGTGAGACTTCTTGGTAGTTGGAAAAAATATAGAAATAGATTAGATCACTAGATATAACAAGAAGACATAGTTGCTATTATAATTATATAGATTATTAGTCTAATAAAAATTAAGTATAGGATATTTTAGAACCAACTTTCTAAAACCACTTAAGATTTCTTTGAACATTTTGTTCAGCTTAACAAGTCTAAACAAAGGGCACATAAGTTAGATTTCTAAAGTAGATAAAAGATCTGCATAAGAGAAGATTATTGTATATTATATGATTAAAGCTATGGAAATCAAAGCTGCTTAGAAACACAATTCCAAATAACCTCTAACAAGAATTTACCTGCATATTTCATAGCATGGCTCAGAAGCCAGTACTTGTAAGTACTTCTTATACCACTAAACAACAGCCATGAAAATTAAGTGAAAAGAAAATTTCTGAGATGTATGACCATTACAATGAAAGGCAAATATTTACTCATATTAAGGTCTGCACTAGCTTTTCAAAACCAGATTTTCAAGTATTTGGGGAGGAAATAAAATTCATACTAATTTGCACATAAAGTTTTCATTTCATGCAAAGTAAAGCTATGCTATAGAAAATAAGCCCATTTATCTACAACATTAACAGTTAAGGTATATAAAGTGTGTCCTACTGAGAAACATACAGTTTTTACTAGCTGGTCTGAAACGGAGCAGCAGATCTCTGTCCCAATCGTTAAAGAAGAATACACAGATGAAATGCACAAAAAGAAAAAAAAGTCTATCTTATCACTAACTCCTAAAATATCTTTATTATGAATGCCCTTGTATCTGAAAGTAGACTGTCTTAAAGATTAGATAAGACAGGGCAATTAAGATTGCCATATCAGCAGTTAAGTTTGAAACTTTGTTATATTTTATATGATAAAGAAACCAAAAAGGACTGCAGGATGAATACTAAGAAACAGAAGCAAGAATCATTTTGAAAGTTAAACAGCGTTTTCAATTTCCTAAAGTATAAGGTTCATGAAATTAGAGGGGAGACTGAGGGCAAATAATTTTTTTCTTCTTGGGAAAATTTTAAGAGAAAATCTGGAAATGGGAAAGAAATCAAAGATGTATGGAGAAAGGAAATACATTGACCTTTGTGTAACCTTTGTCAATCAGGTCATATAAAACTATACTTTTAGATTGGGAGTTATCCCATTTCTTATGATCTGACAAAAAAATGTTGCAGGATCATGTCCTCTCATGACTGGAAGTAATCTTTTTATCTAATTTTTCTTCCATATTTCATCCCTGCCAAGGAACTGATAATTTTGGGAAATTACAAAGAGCAGAAATTGTTCAACAAAACAAATTCTGCATAAGCTACTATCAGGACAAAGATATGTTAAGTGCCTCTGCCCTGAAAGGAAATATTCAAAAGGAAGATGGGTAAGATATGAGCCCTTTCTTTAGAGCTTTTGACTTTATAGGAGTTAAGAGAGTACACAAACTCATCCCAGTGAAGGCAGTAAAAAGTTATGCCACATGAGCAGTGCAAGCAAAGAACCACCTAAACAATTATGAGGCACCAAAGATCCCTTCTGGCTGGGTGCTGCGGCTGTGCTTCCCTAAGAAGGCAGGATGAGAACTGGAACTCAGAAAGACTGGCAGGCTTTCTTGAGCTGATTATGGTCATAAGCAAAAACATGAAGGTAGGAAAATGCTAGTCAAGTTCACATATCCAAATGCTCCTACTTAACCACTATGTTGCCGATGAAAAATGCAGGCTCAGTATATGGAAAAAACATTCCAAGAGTAAAGATTATCAACAAACCTCATGTGGTAGACTTGAAAGAAACAGAATAGATTCTTCTTTGTATAGAGTGATTCAACCAGAACTCTGCCTAAATGCAAGGGCTGTACCTGACCAGTGGCCTTTGAAGATTCCTCCCTAGGAATCTGGAGCAGCAACAAAATCAATCTATTTTTCCCTATGAGGGCTTCTCAAGCCTTATTTTCTGTTGTGCTTTATTGAAAAGGAAGGTTTTTACAGTTGGCACTGGGCATTTTTCTAAGGTTGGACAAACCTAAGGACACCAAATACTACTTTCAGTTAATACAGTACACACATCACGCTTTTTAACAAGGAAAGAACAAAAACTCATAAGACTCTCTCTTTCAGGTCACTCCTAGTAAATCTCATTAAAAACATCAAAGCATGACGCATCCGCTGATTTCCATATCTGACATCAAGGCACCTGAAAAACTGCCTGGGAACAGTGATGCTGGAGGAACCTCCAGGAGCAAGTGTCTGAAAAGCAGGAAAAGGATGACCCAGAAGTTGCAAACAAACAAGAAAGCACACAGTGGAAGTGACATATCACTTTTTTAACAGACTAATAACAGCACACGATTAGATTTCCACAGCTGCCACCTTTTGACGAATATTAATAATTTAGAAAAAAAGAAATACACATAAAATCAACTTTAAATATGAATGCCTGAAACACTATCTTGAACATAGTTTATAGGATTAAGTCTAATGCCCATGAATCCTTTCTTTTAAAAGCAATGAAACAGAATTCTTAGGTTTTACCATTTCAACCTTTACTTTATAAGGAGCACCCATGGGTGATATGCCCTAGGGCTTGATGCTGAGAAGCAACAGCCAGACGCAGTTCGGTTCTGTGCTGAGCCTCTACTCTCTGCCAGGCCTGATGGCTAGGAACAATCATCTTTTTTCAAAATCTAGCAGAGAGGACAGGTTAACTCCATCAAAGACTCTAAGAAAACAGTTATTTAAATCTACACTGCTAAAAAAAAGCAATAAAAAGTAAGAAAATAAAGTATGTCCAATTTTTACTTACACTGCCAGCCCAAACTTCAGGCGATCTCCCTGACAGCTTATAGTAGACATATACAGTGTCACCTTTTTTAAAATTCATGAAACGACAATCCGGACCTGTAAAATCTTCTAGAGCTTCACCCCGGTACATTAACACTGTATATAAAGAGAGGGGGGGAAAAAAAACAGCTATCAGGATTCAGTTTTTGCAGAACATACTGATTTATCAGGAAATATAATAATCCACTGTAAACAACAATCGAGTTTCTCCAGTACTCTCTGGAATCAATCACTTTCAATTCATATGTTCAAAGTATCTAAAATCTTTAGAGCTTTATCAGTTAAAAATCATGACAACCTTTGCAAATAGAGGAGAGGGAAACTCCCTAGTTTTCTTGATGGATAATGCTGAGAAAGAGCAATGTCTACCACCACACATAGCTGGTCTCAGGTGAAACTCTTGGTTCTTTCTCTAACCTTCTAGAGAACCTTCAATTGTTGCTATTACGTAATTATAAAAAGCTTCATTTTGCAATTAGGTAAAATTCAAGGGCAGATTCTGGCTAGCTTAAGCATGGTTACACACAGAGGTAATAGGGAACTGAGGAGAGCGCACAGGAACCCCCCAAGGGGTCAATTAACTTGAACTAACACTAAAAGGCACTATCTTTAAGTAGCTGTAACTACAGTCAGGAGGCAGTAAACACTGTCAATTTCATTTGCAGCCAAGTTGTTCTCTCCACACAGTATTTGGATAAATGAACAGGAAAGAATATCACACCGTATTACGGATCCAATACATTACAAAGCAATGTGAAAGCATTATGAAAGGAAAGAGCGGTGATTGTATCCAACATTAAGAAGGTTTCAAAACAAAGGGAAAATGACCTTCTTTCTTTCTTTCTATAAACAAAACCAAAAGTAGACATCACATGTGGCAGGGACAAGCAAACTATGAGAATTGTTCAGTAGTTACCTTCAGTCTTAAAGTGCAGGACTTACATCACACTCAATCTAGAAACTGGTAGAAGCAGTATTTTTCTTTTTGTTGGCCAAATACTCAGTTTCTGATGTAAGATGAAATGGACAATAAATGCAATTAAATCGCAGAGAAAAAGAAGAATGAAATGGAAAAACAGTTTTTCTAAGGCCAATTAGCAACAAATACATTAAAATGTATCTTCAAATATGTATTTGAGGAACAAACGTATAGATTCTAAGGGGATTATTTTGATTTTGAAGGTAAAATCTATTTTAACACATGGGAGCATCCTAATCCAGATGTAATTGAGAGGCCAGGTTGAAGGAGATGGACAATTCAGGATTGAGGATTCTGTCGGAACTGGAACTGGCAATGTTTCTCTTGTCCTCCCTCAGAAGAGAATGTTGAGGATTTGTAATCAATGAGACTGGAATGGCTGTCTGCAAAGCACACAGGAACACCTCACACCTTACTAAGCAATACAACATAGCACATGGGGCTGCTGCCTCTTGTTTGGTCACATCTGTTTGGACACAAGCCATTTCTCATGCTATGTGACAGCTAAGGGCCCTTCCAACACCGTGTCTCCATAGGGAGAACACATCAGAGATGTGATGCTCCATAACTAGTTTTAAGTAACCCAGGTAACAGTGCTTGAATGCAAAGAAGAGCAAACATTTTGCCACAGCCAACCCTGCTTGCTAACAATCTGGGCTTGTCCGAGAAAACTGGAGGAAAAAAAATCTTGGAAGTTGCTCAGCTTTTGTAGTGTTTACTTCCATCAGCCTAGAGTTACCTCTAGGAATGGCTCAAGACAAATCAAAGACTGCCTCCTTTCTTTTCTTTAACGGCGTTGCAGTGATACAAACTCTTCAAATCATGATATGTGTTTTTTAATAACACCAATTTGAATATAAAGAGCTAAACTGTAGGCTTATGACTTTTTCAGAATGAACATTTTTCTACACGTATTGATTAACATTTATGAACCACCGCTTCCGAACGCAGTCATCATCAGTAAATTACAAGGTTATTTGAGACCAGCCATAAGAATGATCCTGGTCAGGCAAGAACGAGATAACGCGGTTCCAACAACGTTAACTGACTAAGGCTGACTGGGTTTATAAGACCCCTGCAGGGTTTATTATTATTACTTTAATAATCCTTTTCATCTCTGTCTGGAAATCTTGCTCTCCTCACCGCCCACAGCGTCACCCCCACCCACCCCCAAACCTAATTCGAGACTGGGGAAAAATTCCGCTTTCGGCGCAAGGAAGAGAAGGTTGCCAGTCCCAGGTGACCGATGCAGATCCTCGGCCTTTCTCGAGAGTTAAAGATTTTGGCCTTCCCGGCGCCCTCTCTGCCTGGCTGTTCGCAAGGAGACTTCCAAGCACAGAAATGACAGGACTGAGGCAGAGCCCGGGAGGAGACCTTGGAATACGTTGCATGCCTAGACTCCGGGCTCGTCCCAAACCTAAACTCCAGTCCCTGTCCAATAAACGGTACGAGCCCCCAGTCCGAGAGAAGCAGAGGGGCGAAGGAACGCGCCCTTCCCGAGTGCCAGCATCAACCTGCGGCAGGGAGTACGCCCACCGAGCCCTCGGAGCATCTGCCCCCGGCTGCACCCAACGAGGTCCCCGCAGCAGGGACAGGCAAGCGCTCAGATGCAACGTGGAAAGCCCAGGGCGCGCGGCGCGCAACCCCATCTCCCCTCGGAGCCCGGGCGGGCCGGGGAGCAGCAGCTGCGCGCTGCCTCTGGGACACCCGGTGGCCACCTCCAGCCCCCAAGCCCCGCCTCAGTCAGCAAAGCGAAACTGAGACGCTGGCAACAAGTGGGAGGTGCAGCCCCCCCTGCGCTCTGCCCGCCCGGCCTGCGACCCCCCGGCCGGCCAGCGGGGCCGCCGAGCTCCCGCCCCCGCGCAGCCCCGGCGCGGCCGCCCCCGGCCCCCGGCCCCCGGGGCACTCACTGCTGCATTCGTCGTCCGCGCAGAGTTTGTGCTCCGAGAAGCGCCGATCTGCGGCTGGGCTCCGCTTGCCCGGCACCCGCCAGGGCGGCCCGAGCAGGAGCAGCCAGAGGAGCAGCCCCGGCGCCGCAGCCATGTTGTGGTCACCTCTGGGGAGCCGGCGACGCGGAGGCGGCGGCCGGGGCGGGCGCCGGGGGCGGGGCGCGGAGGGGCGTCGCCTCCCGGAGGCCCCCGGGTTCCCGGCTGACACGTCAGCGCGGCCTCAGCGAGGGACGGGTGAGGTTGGGGGGGCTTCTGGAGGGGCTCGGCGGGAGCTCCGACCTGCGCCCCGGGGCCTTGTGCTTCGGGCGCTGCCGTGGCAACCGGGATTCTGTAGCTTCTCCCTCGCCCAATCGCCTGCCTTCGCCCCGGTGCCTTCGCAGTCGGCCCTCCGCGCAACTCCAGCCCCTCGCTCGCCCCCTCTGAGTCCTTGGGACCCGCAGCCCCGCACCCTCCCAACATCAGGGCCTTTCTGGCGCCTTCTCGTAGCTTCTCATTTCTGGTCCGTACCAAACCAGCCCGCCCTAGACCCCCCATTCTTGGTTTGGTACCTCCTTTTCGGAACTACCAAATCCCACGCACGATTTGCCATTGCTGGCTCTTTCTCCTGCAGACTCCCAGGGGTTCCTTGGGGTCCCATCCTGTGACCTTTGATGAGAAAAAAGGTGTGTGAGAGTGGAATGGCGGGCTGGGTGTGTAAATTAGAGCCCGTAGCCCCCTTGGTCTTTTTTTGAGCCAGGGGATAGATGTAGTCAGTGGGTACCCTTGCTGAGATCTTCAGATTCTTGGGGCTTTTATCCATACGGCAAGAAGTAATTAAATTCAACACAAATGTGTTGGACTTCCATTGCAGGCAACCATTTAATGCCAACAGTGGACAAAGCAGTAGCTTGCTATAGGTAATGTTGTAGGTCAAGACAAGATATCTAGCCCTTGTCTAAAGAAGCCCACAATTCGGTGGAAACCAACTGACATAAATACGAATAAAGAATAAATTTCTGAGTAGGGAAAAGCCAGTTAATTACAGCTAACATTTATTAAGCTTTCTTTAGGTCCAGGTGTTATTCTAAGGTCTTTATATTTATCAGTTCCTTTAATCTTCACAACAATAGTACCTCACAATAGTGTATCGTATTATACCTTCATTTTTGAGAGGAACAAATTGAGGCATTCTCACATAGAGTGAGTGATGGACCTAAGACTCAAACCCAGGTAGTACACTCCCTTTTAACCACAATTCGGTAAAGCCTCCATCAAGCAACATGCAGTTTTTGTACGTTCTTGCTGACCAGGGAAAGCAAAATCTTGTTTAAATCGCAATGCAACTGAATTATCTATGTATGTGATTAAAAAAAAAAGTCTATAAGCTCACAGGTCAGCCCAGGGAAGAGTAGCTATAATGTTCTGGCTTTACATTTGCCTGTGAACAACTTCTGCTAAGGTTTGACTTAACACCAGTTAAAGCCATCAGTGGTTTCCCAAATCACTTGGATTCTTAAAAAGCAAGAGGAAAGAATGTGGCCTATGCAATCCATATCAATGAATAAAGAAAAATGTATCATGTTCACAGAGAAGTTCAGAGTTGTTTTGTCTACAGAGGCCATGAAATATCCCATGTGGTTCCCATGCTGTCTGGAGAAAATGGACAATGGATACAGTCACTGGTCATCCATGTGGTGGTGCCCTTAGGCAGTCTACATTGCTTTCCTACCCCCTTTGCGTTTGTTTGCTTTAGAATCTCAGGTGTATCCAATAGGCATCTGCATGTTAATATGGGAAAGACCAAGCTCTTCATTTTCTCTCTCAAACCCTGCTCCTTTCAGTCTTCCCTATCTCAATAAATAACCATTTTAATTTCTGTCTTCCGGGTGCTTATTAAAAACTTACAAACCATTCCTGACTTCTCTTTCTGTTACACCCCAAGTCTAATCCATCAGCCAAACCTGTGCACTGTTTTAATAGCTTTATTGGGATATAATTGACATATAATAAACTGCATACATTAAAGAGTACAATTTGATAAGTTTTGCCATATGTATCCTCCCATGAAACCATCACCACAATCAAGAAAATTAACACATCATCCCTGAAAGAGTCCTCATGCTCCTTTAGAAGCCCTCCCTCCCCTCACCTGCCTATCTCCAATCTTCTGTTGCTGTAGACTGATTTGTAATAATTTCTAGAATTTGATATAAATAGGACCATACAGTATGTATTCTTTTTTGTGTGTGACTTCTTTCACTCAGCATAAGCATTTAAAATACAGCCAGAATCTGACCACTTCTCATCATCTCCTGTGCTCACACTATGGGCTGAGCCTCCATCATCTCTCACCTGAGACTCCAGTAGCCTTCTCACTGTTCGCTACTCATGTCCTTGCTTTCCTACAGTCTATTGTCTCAATAGCAGCCAGAGGGACTATTTCATGATACACATTTCATCATGTCTCTCCTCTACTCAAAACCTTCCTATGGCTCCCCACTTCCAAGTAAAATGCAATGACTTTGTTATGGACTGTGCTGTCTTATTTTATCTGACTCCACTCACCCCTTTTACCCCCATTTCCTTACACTCTCCCCTTGATCTGTTAGTCCCACTTAAACTCACTAAGCTCACTCCTGCATCAGAGCATTTGTGATTGCAATTTTCCCTCGACCTGGAATAGTTCCCCCAAATAATCCACATGGCTAATCAGTTCCTTCCCTTCATCGAGTGTCTGTAACCCCATCATATCTCATTAGAGAGGCATGCACCCCACATAAACTAGAGCTCCTTCCATGATTATCTAGCCCATCATTCTGCTTTATTTCTCTTTAGAGCACTTTCTACCTGCCTTACATTTGTTTATCTATTTGACTGCTCTCCTACCCCAAAGATAAACTCCACAGGAGCAAGGAATTTGTCTGTTCATGACTGTAACAGAAGTGCCCAAGAAAGTGTCTGGAATGTATGAGGTACTCAACAAATTGTTGGATAAACCCATGATTATACTCACAGAAGCTCACTACACTATTAACCTACATAGAGCCTCCCTATGTAAATATTACTGAGAGAAAATATGCCATGAGAACAAGATATTTTGTGTTTTCCCCTCAGACACTGGGAACAGGACCTGAAACATTTATTGTTGATTGAGAACATATTTATTGCAGAAGGAGTGAATGAAATTGCACTGTATTTTTCCCTCTATACTACCAGAATATTAAAGCAGATCAATGTAATTTTTTCTTATTTCTACTTAGAGTAGAATTAATCACAATTCATTGGTGGAAAAAGCTAAATTCCAAGATGACCTAATTCAATATTACTTTACTATTATCTACTTTGACTAATATTCAGATACTTCCACATGAAAAATGAGAGTTCTGAATTACTGAAGAACTGGCTGCTTAGTTTGTAGATTTTCCAGGGCTCTGATTTATCTGCATTCTTTTTTTTTATTATGTTTATTGCCTTAAATAGATATTAACAAGTTTGGCAGATAAAAATTTCTCAGCTGACCACAGTGAGGGTGGTGGCAGTAATTCTTCCTGCCAGCATGTATATAAATTTCAGTGGATGAGTCAGCATTGATTTTTAATAACATTAAATATGATGCTTAAAATAAATCCTAACCCCAAATGTACTATTTGTTAACAGTTCAAATGTATTTTTCACTGCATAAAGGTTGTGTAGAACTTTAAAAAAAAAATGTGTTTAGTTTGGGGGTGGGGCATAAAAATATGAAGATATGGAGGGTCCTGACCTTAAAGAATTTGCAGTCTAATTGAGAAGACAAGACAAATACATCTGAAACAAATAGAAGACAGCGTAACAACATATATCATTTTAAACTTCCCATGATGCCTACCCTGGAACATCCAGAAGGCCTAACACTGAAATTACCAGAAAGAACCCGGTCTGTTGTCAACTATGAAAGCAGCCAGAATCTAGAGAAGGGTGTGAAACATTTATTGAGGACCACGCTTCCAGCCAAGATGGAGTAACAGGACCAGATTTACCCTTCCACATTAAGCATCTAAAAAAAAAAACCTGGATGAAGCATATAAAATAAGAATTTTTAGACACTGGACAACAAGCAGTGTAGGACAATAATCCCTAAAATAAGGGGAACAATGGAAGTGAGAGCTATGATTGCCCCAGCTTACTCCCTGCATAAAGTTTTCAGACCACAAAAAGAGAAGGGAAACTCAAGCAGGTGATCTTGAAAATCTGGGAAGGTCAAGGCAGCTGGAATTTGCAGGGAAGAGGGTAGGAGAGAAGAGGGCTGTATGGAGAATAGAGAATTGTACAGGCAAAGCTCCAGAAATATGCAGAGGGTTTCTCTCAAGCCATCAACTGAGTAATGATAAGTCCATGTGTGAAGAGCTACCTGGGGCAGGGAAAGAACCACAAAGAGTGCAGAGAGAATTGTTGGAGCACAGAATAGTTTGTGCTCCCACCAGCCAGAGCGGAAAACCTATAATAAACAGGGCATCAGGTAGAGTGCTCAGTTAAGAGGAAAATATCACCAAAGATTGAAAGATACTATAATAAAGCTTAAAAGCAAGACTTGAGAGGATCAAAAATGTTTCCAAGGAAACTAACTGCATGAAACAATATCAATATGTCGAAGGATGAAACTGAACGCTGCCTTACAACACACACAAAAATTAACTCAAAATGGATCATAAACCTAGATGTAAGAGCTGAAACTATAAGAATCTTAAAAGGAAACATCTTCAAGTAGGCAATGACTTCTTAGATATACCACCAAAAGCACAAGCAATGAAAGGAAAAAATAAACTAGATCCTATCAAATTTAAAACTTCCATGCTTCAAAGGACATCCTGCAAAAAGTGAAAACAATAATCACACAGAAGGACCTCAATAACCACAATGTGGAAGTTCCTCAAGAAGCAGACTTATACAACCAATTTCACTCCTATGTATAAAACCAAGAGCAATGAAAACATCTACACAAAGCCTTGTACACAAGTATTGGTAACATCATTATTCATAATGGCCAAAAATGGAAACAACCCAAATGTTTGTTATAAATGATGAATCAATAAATAAAATGTGGTATATCAATACAATGGCCATAAAAAAGTATGAAGTACTGACATGCCACAACACGATGATTCGTAAAAACATTAGGCTGAGTAAAAAAGCCAACCACAAAAGACCATATATTGCATGGTTCCATGCAAGTCTATAGAGTCTATAGAGACAAGTCACTTGGGACAGAAAGTAGATTATTTGTTCTCTAGGGCTGTCACAGATGAGGGATTTGAAGGTGACAGATAAAGGGTACAAGATTTCTCTTTGCGGTGATAATAATGTTCTAAAATCGATTATGGTGATGCACAACTCTGAATATACTAAAAATGTTGAATTGGAAACTTGAAATGCATGAATTGCTTAATTATGTGAATTGTATGTCAATAACACTATTATAAAAAAAAAGGAGAATTAAAGACTCCCATCTCCAAAAGCAAATGTCTAAATGTGCAAAAAAAATATTTTCAGAACCCAAAAGCTAAAAGAATTCATTACTACCATATCTACACCATAAGAAATGTTGAAGCCTTTTAGGCAGGAAGAAAATACCAGATTGA